GAGAGAGAGAAATATTTATCACGTTCTGATTTACCTATATTTGTATTTCATTTAAATACCGCGTTAATGTGCTGAACGGTAAATTCCAGTTAGTAGCTCGCTGCACCTCGCCGCCGGCGTCGTGGGGGGTTTATCGGTACCAGGGGGGGTGAGGGAGGGGGAGGGGAGCAGCGAAAGAGGGAGGGAGGGAAGGAAGGGAGGGAGGAGGGGAGAAAGAAAGGGAAGGAAGGGTGGTGGGAGAGAAGGAGGGGGGGGGGGAGAGGGAAAGAAGGGTGGTGGGTGGGAGGGAGGGAGGGAGGGAGAAAGAGAGAGGGAAGGAAAGGGCGGAGGAAGGAGGGAATGAGGAAGAAAGAAGAGGCAGGGAGAGTGGGGGGGGAGTGAGAGTGGGAGGAAGGGAACGAGAGGGAGAAAAGAAGGAAAGAAGAAGGAAGGAGAAACGGAGACTAATATTAAGTTTATTCCCTTGTTTATTCCCTCCCTTTTTTCTTTTCTCTCTTCGTTTCCTTCACCCCCCCCTTTCCCTCTTTCCCATTTTCTGCGCCTGCATTTAATATCCACTTTTGCCACCGTAACCATTCAAAATTACCGCCGAAAATGCTACTAAACTCGCTCACACCTTTATGGTAATTCACATCCTGTACATACACTGCTATTTTTCTTCAAATTCGTTTCCGTGATTTTAAAAAGAAGAGAGTCGAAAAATATTTCAGTCTATGTATATATGTAATCATAACTCTCAAATTAGTTCAAATAACGATAAATGCAACGCAGCTGGCACACAGATTTATGGTAATTCGCGATGCAGACCATCTTCTGCCTGCGTTTCCCCTTTATTTCAAGCTAAACACACACACACACACACACACACACACACATACATATATATAAACACACACATATAAACACATACACAAATACACACACATATATAAACACATATAAACACATACACAAACACACACACATATATAAACACACACATATATAAACACACATATATATAAACACACACATATATAAACACACACACACACACATACAAACACATATACGCACAGGAAAAAAAGAAATGAACATCGCCTCTCGAAAACCTCATTTCCCGCCAAAAAAGAAAGAAAGAAAAAAAAACGAATTCCGGCAGCCAACACTTTCCCGCCAAAACCTAATGCAATTCGGCCGAAATCTCTCCCCGGTTCTTTATCCTCCTCAGGAACTCCGTGTGAATTCCGACCTCTTTTTCCCTTCGTCAATGTTCTACCTGTTTACTTCCTCATTCTGTTTGAAAGAAGGGGAAAGAAAAGGGAGGGAGGGAGGGAAGGATTGGGGGAGGGAGGGAGGGAGGGAGGGAGGAGGCAGGATGGAGGAGAGGGTGAGTCGGTCGGAACGTGATGCAGTAAGGAGTTTGGTGGAAGGTCTGAAGAAGGAGGGGAGAGAGAAGAGAAGAGAGAGAGAAGACACACTCACACCACAAACCACAGAGAAGAGAGAGAGAGAGTGAGAGAGAGGAGATGAGAGAGAGAGAGAGAGAGAGAGAGAGAGAGAGAGAGTGAGAGAGAGAGTCAGATTCGGGCGATGGAAGAGAGAAAAACAACAAAACATGAAACAACCAAACCCAAATACCCACCCACCATAAAAAATAAAAAAAAAAAAAGGCGCGAAAAGATACGAAACACAGGATGTTACATCCTCTCCCCCCCTCCCCTTCCTTCCCTCCCTTCACCCACGGCGGCATCTGACACCATCCCATCCGGCACAGACAGTCTCCCAAGTTTAGGCGGAGTTTAATAGCGCCGCCGGTACTTCGCGTCGCAACTTGGCCAAGGGTCCTATCCCGGTGTCCTATTACTAAGTCTATATCTCCCGACCGGGGGAACTTGGTTTACGACGCTTGCTGCGATCAGATTTTTGTAGAGAGTGAGAGAGAGAGAGAGTGAGTGAGAGAGAGAGAGGATATGAGAATGTGAGAGAAGAGTGATGGATGAGAGCAGAGAGAGGAGTGAGAGGAGTTGGTGGTGAGGAGAGATGTGGGAGAGAGCGAGGAGAGAGGGAGAGAGAGAGAGGGATGGTGATGGAGAGGAGTGGATTCTACGGCTTAGCGGTTTTCAGTGTTCTGTTTGTTTGTGTTCGTTGTTGCTTGCGTTGGTGTTCGGATAGATATCTTTGGGTTTTCCTTTTATGGCGAAGTAACTTTCGGCTTGAGCTTGTTGGTGTCACACAACGCACAGGGAAGGAACATTTTTTTTTTCTTTTTCTTTTTCTTTCTTTTTCACTTTCTCTGTCTGTCTGTCTCTCTTTCTCTCTCTTAACCTCTCCCCCTCTCTCTGTGTTTCTCTCTCTCTCTGTCTCCCTGTCTCTCTATCTCTCTGTCTCTCTGTCTCCCTGTCTCTCTGTCTCTCTGTCTCCCTGTCTCTGTCTCCCTGTCTCTGTCTCCCTGTCTCTGTCTCCCTGTCTCTGTCTCTCTGTCTCTGTCTCTCTGTCTCTGTCTCCCTGTCTCTGTCTCCCTGTCTCTGTCTCCCTGTCTCCCTGTCTCCCTGTCTCTCTGTCTCTCTGTCTCCCTGTCTCTGTCTCTGTCTCTCTGTCTCCCTGTCTCTCTGTCTCCCTGTCTCTGTCTCCCTGTCTCTCTGTCTCCCTGTCTCTCTGTCTCCCTGTCTCTCTGTCTCCCTGTCTCTCTGTCTCCCTGTCTCTCTGTTTCCCTGTCTCTCTGTCTCCCTGTATCTGTCTCTCATTTACATTTACACCTGTATTTTGGACATTTATATTCACATTTGCATTTGCATTTGCACTTACAATTTACATTTACATTCACATTCACGCTCACATATACACTCATACATATATACATACATGCATAAAGAAACACACACATACACATACACACATGAATATAAACATACAATACTTAATACATACTTAGACACAAAAAAGGAATCATCTTCTTCTGAGACAAATATGTCTTCCGTCTTCCATCCTTGAGCAACCTTCAAGCTCTTCCTGTTCCAATATTACGCTCTAGTACCTTTTTGCAATATCTGATACCCTCCGCCCCCCCCCTCCTTTATTCCCTTCCTATCACCATCCCTCCCTCCCTCCCTCCCTCCCTCCCTCCCTCTCTCTCTCTCTCTCTCTCTCTCTCACTCTCTCACTCTCTCCTCTCTCCCTCTCTCCCTCTCTCCCTCTTTCCCTCTCCCTCTCTCTCTCTCTCTCTCTCTCTCTCTCTCTCTCTCTCTCTCTCTCTCTCTCTCTCTCTCTCTCTCTCTCTCCTCTCTCTCCCTCCCTCCCTCCCTCCCTCCCTCCCTCCCTCCCTCCCTCCCTCCCTCCCTCCCTCTCTCCCCTCCCTCTCTCTCTCTCTCCAGTCTTTCGTCCCTTCCTCCATTTTATCACCTCCCATTCCAATTCCTAGTTCATCAGAATGTCTCTCTCCCTCTTTCCTCCACCAAAAACATTTTTAGCCTAAGTACTTTAACCGTTCTTTTTATTGGCAAAGTTTGGATCCATTTTAGGTCGATTATTCCCTCCCCTCTCCCTCCCCCTCTCCCTCCCCCTCCCTATCCAGTTTCCACTAAACACCTTAATTATATTACCTGCAATTAACGTAATCACCTCTAGCTATTTGTTAATTATTTTCCTCCCTATTGCCTCCTCCAGATGATCAGCTTCTGGCGACGAGGCCGACGAATTATCCGCAGAATGCATACGTATAATGCGCATGGGATAATGATAACCAGAACTCAATGTCCCTAAACTATTTGTATAAATGAAAATACATATATGAAAACGGGCATGTGTTCAAACTGGGCATAGAAAGGTGCATGCCGGTATACACACACGCACACTCACACAAGCATTTTCTCTCTATCTGTGCCTGATTGTTTGGCTGTGAATCTTTTGATCTCATTTTCACTTTCACTTTCACTCTCTCTCTCTCTCTCTCTCTCTCTCTCTCTCTCTCTCTCTCTCTCTCTCTCTCTCTCTCTCTCTCTCTCTCTCTCTCTCACACACACACACACACACACATACACACACACACACACACAATTACCTTCCCTTGCTCATCAAACTTTCCCGCCATATTTTATTTTTTGAAGCACAACTTCCCGCCAAAATGTTTACGCCAAAACGAAACAGTTTTCCTGACGACAAAGGACGAGGAAGAAGGAAGAAAAATAATAAAGAGGAAGACGAGAAATGGGAAAAGAATGAAACGGAAGAAAAAATGCGACTAGGAAGGATAAGAAGATGAAAGGGAAGAAGGAAGAGGAGGATGAGGAAGAAATGAGGTAAAGGAGCGGGAGAAGAAGAAGAAGAAAAAAAAAGAAAAGTGGCAAACTGAAAAAAATAGAAGAAGAATAGTAAACAAAAACAAAATCATACGGAATAGGGGGACGTAGAAAATAAAAATATAAACGCTATCGACAGATAAAGTTTATTCAGAAGTTTTCGCTAACGCCTCCCAAAAGTCAGTCAACCGACATTTTTTTAAAACTACAAATTCGCTGTCAAGCAAATAAACAAAAATGGCCAAGAAAAAGGAATTCAAAAAAAATATTCTTTAAAAGATAAATTACAAATCTGAAAAAAAATATGCCTATAAAACTCCAGTTGTGGCGGAGAAAAAGATGTTTTAGTCGTTTCTTCGCCTTTTTTCCCGAAATCCTCTTTTTATTATACCCCTTAAATCTCTCGAACGCCCCTTCCCGCCATAGCTTCCCCTTTCTGCTTCTTTTTCTCCTTTTCCTGTTGTTCCTCCTCCTCCCTTTTCTGTTCCTCTTCCTACTTCTTCTTCTTCCTCTTCCTCCTCCTCCACTTTTTCCTTTTTCTCTTCCTCCTCCTCCACTTTTTCCTCTTTCTCTTCCTCCTCCACTTTTTCCTCTTCCTCTTCCTCTTCCTTCTCTTCCTCCTCCACTTCTACTTCTTCCTCTTCCTCTTCCTCTTCCTCTTCTTCTTCTATTTCTTTCTCTTCCTCTTCCTTCTCCTCCTCCTCCTTCTCTCTTTTCTCTTCCTTCTCCTCCTTCACTTCTAACTGCAAACAATATATAACAAAATCCCCCCCTCCTCTTTTGTCCCCCACCCCCCCATCCCGGAACATTATGAGGCTTCTACTCTCCCCCACTCCCTTTTATGCCCATTACCCCCCCCCTTTTCTCTCTCTCTCTCTCTCTCTCTCTCTCTCTCTCTCTCTCTCTCTCTCTCTCTCTCTCTCTCTCTCTCTCTCTCTCTCTCTCTCTCTCTCTCTCTCTCTCCTCCCTTTTCCGCCCAAACCCCATCCTCCTATGGCCCTCATATCCCCCCCCCCTCTTCCGCCCACCCCATTCTCCCTCCCTCCCCCTTCTGAGTCCCTAACCCCTCCCTCCCGCTGTGAGCACCCTCCCCCTCCCCCCTCCTTCTCCTCCTTCCACCTATCCCACCTCTTCCTTCTCTTTTTTTTTTCTTCTTCTTCTTCCTCCTCCTCTTCCTCTTCCTTCTCCTCATCATCCACTTCTTTCTTCTTCTTCTTCTTCTTCTTCTTCTTCTTCTTCTTCTTCTTCTTCTTCTTCTTCCTGCTCCTCCTCCTCCTTCACCCTCCACCATCTCCTCCCTCCACCACCTTCAACCACCACCACCTCCACCCCACCTTTACCTCACCCCTCCCCTCTCCCTTCGCCTGGTGTCTAGTCAGCGTTGATATGCCGCTCCTCGTCCAGTTTAAAATCTCGGCCGATATTCTGAATCTTTATTGTCATTTTTTTGTTTCGTTCTCTGTCCCTGTCGGTTATTTGTGACTCTCTGCCTCTGTTGGTTTCCATCTTTCTCCGTATTTTTTTTTTCTCTTCCTCCCCCCTCCCTTCGCCTGGTGTCTAGTCAGCGTTGATATGCCGCTCCTCGTCCAGTTTAAAATCTCGGCCGATATTCTGAATCTTTATTGTCATTTTTTTTGTTTCGTTCTCTGTCCCTGTCGGTTTATTTGTGACTCTCTGCCTCTGTTGGTTTCCATCTTTCTCCGTATTTTTTTTCTCTTCCTCCCCCCCCTCGCCTCCTCCATCACACACGCCCTTTTTTCGCCTCCCTCGCGTGTCCGTCCATACATGCATATGATATAGTGAGTTGAGTGAAGAAGAGAGAGAGAGAGAATGAACCGAGAATGAGAGAGAGAGAGAGACGAGAGAGAGAGAGAGAGAGAGAGAGAGAGAGGGACGAGAGAGAGAGAGAGAGAAGATGAGAGAGAGAGAGAGAGAAGAGAGAGAGAGAGAGAGAGAGAGAAGAGAGAGAGAGTAGAGAGAGAAGAGAGAGAGAGAGAGAGAGAGAGAGAGAGAGAGAGAGAGAGAGAGAGAGAGAGAGAGAGAGAGAAAGAGAGAAAGAAAAAGAGAAAGAGAAAAAAAAGAGAAAGAGAAAAAAAAGAGAAAGAGAGAGAGAGAAAGAGAAAGAGAGTAGGGGAGGAGGAGAAAGAGAGAGAGAGACAGAGACAGAGAAAGACACAGACAGACAGACAGATCAAATTTAGAAAATACATTTTCCTCTCTACCACCTCTCTACCTCCCTCAACAATAACAATAACAACAAACGAACCGATAATTAAATAATAACAATAATAATACAACAAAACAACAATAACAACAAACGAACCGATAATTAAATAATAATAATAAAAATACAACAAAACAACAATGATGAATTAGAGCGCCAAAAAATCCGAAATAAAGATCCCAATTCCTAAAAATAGAAAGAGAAAAAAAAAGAAAGAAAAAAAGTCAAAAGTCTTCTTTCAAACAAAGATAATGCCTCCGGAGATCAAACAAGCCAAACAAACAAACACACAAAAACTCTCACATCAAAGGAGTCGAGAAGTCTTTAATAAATGAAAAGAAGACGGAGGAGAAAATGATGATGTGTGATGATGATGGTGAGGATGAGGATGGTGAGGGTGATGAAGGTGATTATGTTGATAACGATGGTGGTGGTGGTGATTGATGGTGGTGGTGATGATTATTATGATAATGAGGGTGGTGGTGGTTGTGATGGTGGTGGTGGTGGTGGTGATGATGATAATGATGGCGGTGGTGGTGATGGTGATGATGATAAAGATGGCGGTGGTGGTGATGGTGATGATGATAATGATGGTGGTGATGGTGGGTGGTGATGGTGATGATGAAGATGGTGGTGGTGGTGGTGGTGGGTGGGTGTGGTGGTGGTGGTGGTGATGATGATGATGATGATGATGATGATGATGATGATGATGATGATGATGGTGATGATGATGATGGTGGTGGTGGTGGTAATGGTGGTGATGATGATGATGGTGATGATGAAGATGATGATGAATAATGATAATGGATAAATATAATGAAGAATGACCACGAAGAATGATAATGTTAAAAGGGGAAGAAAGAAAGCGAGAGAGAGAAAGGGAGCCAAGGAGGAAAAGGAAACTACCCAGCCAACCAACGCAGGGAGACGAGGGCGCGAGAGACAAATGAAGAGGGAAGAGAACAAAACACATTAATCCGAGTAAACGTTGTGACTTAAAAGCGAATAATGACAAAACTTACTTCCTTCTTTTCATTTTTTGGGGGGGAGGGGGGGGGGGGGGGGGGAGGGGAGGGGAGGGGGGAGGCGCCGTGTAAAGAAGTTCCTTGAGAGATATTAAAGGTCATTTTTATGGTCTCTTCCTCTCTCCCTGGCGACCTTACCTGCTTCGCGTTCTCTTTCTTGGTGGTTTTTTTTTTTTTTTTTTTTTACCTGCGTACTCCAGCAGTTGCTTGCTTTGTCTTGTATTCCTTCAGTCCTTTCTTTCTTTCTTTCTTTTCTTTCTTTCTTTCTCTCTCTCTCTCTCTCGCTCTCTCTCTCTCTCTCTCTCTCTCTCTCCTCTCTCTCTCTCTCTCTCTCTCTCTCTCTCTCCTCCCTCCACTTCCACCTCCTCCTCCTCCTCCTCCTCCTCCTCCTCCTCCTCCTCCTCCTCCTCCTCCTCCTCCTCCTCCTCCTCCTCCTCCTCCTCCACTTCCACCTCCTCCTCCTCCTCCTCCTCCCCCACTTCCACCTCCTCCTCCTCCTCCCACACTTCCACCTCCTCCTCCTCCTCCTCCTCCTCCCCCACTTCCACCACCACCTCCTCCTCCTCCTCCTCCTCCTCCTCCTCCTCCCCCACTTCCACCTCCTCCTCCTCCTCCTCCCCCTCCTCCTCCTCCCCCACTTCCACCTCCTCCTCCTCCTCCTCCTCCCCTCACCACTTCCACCACCTCCTCCTCCTCCTCCCCCACTTCCACCTCCTCCTCCTCCCCCCACTTCCACCTCCTCCTCCTCCTCCTCCTCCCCCACTTCCACCTCCTCCTCTACTTCTCCCCCCTACCCCTATCCACCTCCCCTTCCCCTCCACCTCCCTTTCCCCCTATCCATCTCCCCCTCCCCCCTCCCCCTCCAACACGTACACCCTGTCACTCTTCATCCCGACACAATTTCGTCCAGCCTCTTCCGCATCGGCCTGGAAAACCCCGCTGCAATTTCATTTCGTGTTGCGCGGAATTCTTTTCTTCTTCTTTCCCTTTCTACTTTTTTTTTTCTTCCCCCCCCCCCTATCCCTTCCCCTTTTGCGTCTCCATTTCGCCTCTTGTATTGTTTCAGCGTCCGGCCGAGTGATTGCAGCTTTCTCGATCTTTCCCTCTCTCTGTCTGTGTCCGTTTGTCTGTTACCTGTCTGTCTGTGTCAGTCTGTGTCTGTCTCTCGCTCCCTCCATCCCTCGCTCCCTCCATCCCTCGCTCCCTCCATCCCTCGCTCTTTCTATTTCTCCCTCTCCTCCTCTCCCTCCCCTAAAGTCTACACGTGCATACTAAACTCCACGGTCAACACGCCCCACGTTTCACATTAACCCCCACCCCCACCCCACCCCCCACCCCGTCACTTGATATCATTCACTACATCCCAAATTAAATTACAGATACACCAGGAGAAAAAACATAAATAAATAAATAAACAAAATAAAAACACAAAAAGGAAAAGAAAAAGCATAATAATAAGGAGACGCTTCGGCGATTCGTATCACACGCCCACACATAAATAATGTACATAAATCGCCCGTATATATCACTACACGTTACCTCACTGGCCTATCCCCGCTATAGTGAAGGGGCAACTGTCATCCATATGTGATTTATGTACAGTTAATCCCCCTTCCTGCCTCCCCCCGACCCCTCCTTCCTTCCCCCCCCTTCCTTCCCCCCCCTTCCTCTCCATTCCCCTCCTTTCTCCCCCTTAATAATAATAATAATAATAATAATAATAATAATAATAATAATAATAATAATAATAATATTAACAATAATAATAATAATAATAATAATAATAATGATAATAACAACAACAACAATAAAAACAACAACAATAACAGCAGCGACAGCAAAATGTTAATACCATAAATCTAGCGCCACGGGCCGGGCTTCCGCGAGCCGCCGCCGGCGCGCAGGGCAGCCTCGCCGACAGCTCAGCGGTTTCGCAAAAAACAATGAAAGGGCGGCACCAAAAACGCGACCTCTGCTGGGAACTGCATTATTCTTTCGACCTCCTCTTTCATTTCCCCTTTGTTATTATCTCAATTTTCCTCTTAGCATTCAAGGGGGCGAAAGGAAGAGAAGGGGGAGGGGAGGAGGGGGAGGGGAGGAGGGGAGGGGAGGGGAGGGGAGTGGAGAAGGGGGAGGGGAGGGGAGGAGGGAGAAGAGAAGGGGGAGGGGAGGAGGGGAGGGGAGGGGAGTGGAGAAGGGGAGAAGAGGAGGGGAGGGGAGGGGAGTGGAGAAGGGGAGAAGAGAAGGAGGAGGGAGGAGGGGAGGGGAGGGGAGTGGAGAAGGGGAGAAGAGGAGGGGAGGGGAGGGGAGTGGAGAAGGGGAGAAGAGAACGGGGAGGGGAGGAGGGGAGGGGAGGGGAGTGGAGAAGGGGGAGGGGAGGGGAAGGGAAAGAGAGAGGGGGAGGGGGGTTGGAACATGGAGCGGGGGTGAGGGGAAATGAAGTAGTGGAGGAGGTGGCGGTGGTGGTAGGGAAA